TCACTCCAACGCTGCACGTTGGCCACCCTCCCGTATTTCTTAATAGTGTCGATGCCTATCACGCATGTAGTTTCTTGTTCCAACATGCGTATTATATAGCAACTAATCGCATTGATATATACAAATAAATAGTACAGTCAAAGTTTTGAATTTTTGATTCAGTATTTTCAATATTCTCTGTCTTATACTTAGTTTTATTTCCACAAGACGATCACAATACTTCCTTTTTTTCCTTGCAACGTGAAAGGATACACAGCATCCAGCGTCTTTCTACGTTTCCATCCTTTTCAGGGTTTCGTTTACTCGCGCGCGTTTTCCCTTTCTCCTTCGCACTCCTCCCCCGGTCTCTAGATGAACGTCAACGTTCGAAGAGAGACATACGAGCAGCCGCTCATTCATTCGACGGAGGCTGTGCATTCATTCGTTCATTCATTCGTTTAACACTTTTGTGCTACACGAAGATACGGGCCGTCTGTCGCAACGCGGCTCGGCGGTACGCGCCTGGGAACCTTTTAACTGTTTTGTATAACGTGATTACTTCAATCCCGTCTCAGCTCTTCCTGCCGTCCGAATCCAGAGCCCGCGTTTTATTAAGTTTCATGGTCCGACAGGATCTGATCGCATGCTTCTCAATAATTTCAATCACTCTCCCGATGACCGATATAGAAACATCTTACGGGTCAAAACGATTTGGAGAAAACAGATGCGAGTGATTACTAAAACAGGAGATTAAAATTGCAAAATATTTATACTAAACTATTGCCTGATACATATTGATAACTAATAGTAGATCAGAACTGTGTCGCGACGGTAAATCAACACCTCCGCGTAGAATGCCAAGAAAATAGGTTTGAATGAGTTAAGGAAGGATTAAAGAAAATGGGAAAGAAAACCATAAAGACGTAACGTGGATGGGAAGTGGGCGGCCCCGGGAGTGAAGGCGACGCGACTGAAAGCCCGCAAACTGGTTCGCTCCAGACGAGGAATCGCGAGCACGTAATTGCTACCGACTATGCGGAGGTGGCGCGGAATATGGTACTGTTAGCGGCCCCGAAGCATCTTCTCTTAACCCTTCTACTTCGCTTAAATAAATTAAGCGAGTCATCTCGCGACAGTACAGTGGAGCACGGCATACATATCTACGTGCCTACATAGGTACGCGTAAGTACTTACTCACGTACGCGATCTTACGTCAGAGTTTTATACTTGATACACTATCCTTGAATCTTGCACGAAATTGACCGCAATCAAAGTGCCACGTCAACATTCCCGACGCGGTACCGCTTATCGAGTCAAGAAAATCGTCCACGGACTTCCGCTCGCGACGCGACGCGACGAACTACACTCGTGGGAGAATCGATGACTCGCGTCGTAATTACTCATCGCGAGATTCTGACTAACGCTCATTTCTTAACTGAGTTCACCGTCTTCACCGGGTAGTGCTTCAAAACTGTGTCACTGGTACGTCAGATTTATGAAAATTACGCGGATCGAGTTTCTCAAGCGATGGATGCTTCTGTAGAAATTGATCACGGTCACGAGAAACACGCTACTTAGTTATTTTCTCATTAAATGAAGTAACCGCTGATTGAAGTGAATAAATGGGACACGAAATTCTTGGACGACGTAATACTGAAAAACTAGGAACTCTGTTCCGCGTTGGGACGATTACACAGTTGAGAAGAAATGCCGGAATGCGTTGAGAATAAACCGCAAATCAGCCACCATCGCGCTCGGGGTGCATCCCCATAGGCTAGAAATTCAGTGCAGAACCCTTGGTTCTTCCCTTCCGCCGTCGCCCGAGGGGGATGGGTACCCCTGCGAGAAGAAGAGACCGTCTGCTCGAGAGCGAAACCAGTCTATTCCTTTCTCTGCGTAAACGTTCGTCTCTCTGTGGCGGGAGAGAAAAGAGGACGGTAGGAAGGGAGGCAGCCAGCTCCGGATCTCACCCCGTGTATGCACCTACGGATGAAAATAATGTAACACGCTGCCATTGAAATCTATTGACGCGCCACCCCAAATGCGACGCACATGTGTGATGCGCCCATTCTATTTATACCAATTTCGCCGGGGAGAAGGACCACGCGTGTTCCTGACTCCTGTGAGAACGCAAAATGGCGATGTCAAAATAGCCGTGGGCCAATTTCGAAACCGAGACGCGGCTAAGTAAGCCGAGCTACACAAAGGTTTAATTCTATTCAACTGTGTTCTGTTATTATTTCAATCCAACCGGGTGTGATCAAAATTTTTACAAAGTTAGGTGAAATTCAAGAAAAAAAAACGTATTTTCATCTGCACTCTTAATATTTATGTAATATCTTATTTTCCTGAAAATCATGAATTTTTCCTAAAACCACTATTTTTGGAAAATAATCGGATTCATTTTTGGAAAATAAGAAAGAGCCTAAAATATATAAACAGTTAAACAAAGAAATAAATCTATTAATTTGATTCTATGAAATATCGTCTTAATGTCCCTGCGATTTAGTGATTCGAACAGCTTAACTCCTTTTGTAACTTCTATCATTAATTCTTTCTTTGATGATCGCGCAAACAACGTAACTACCGTGGCGGTGTGTGCGAAATGGTATTACAAGGGCTCCGAAAGGCATCACGGCAACCCTAACCAGCGACTCTGCGACCAACGCTGACGACATCGACAATAATGTAATAGCGCAAAGTAATTCAGCGAGTTACCGACTACTTACTAAAATGCCAGGAACACTTATGATCTTTACGCGTTTTGCAGACCCTGCATACCGTTATCAGATATAAATAGAGATTACGCGCATTATCAAATGTCGTCGTTTCTCTTCACAAATGTACGAATTCTCATTTTACAAAAATTCAAGAATACATTGGTTGACTATAAAACGTATTAACATTTTTCTACTTCATTTTCATATTATCAAACTGTATAAAAATATGAATACCTAAATACATACTGTTCAATTCTATAAACAATTGTAGATATTTCTGTTTTCTTTTACATAATATATTTTTTACAAGTAGAGAAAATAAAGGAAGCATGTTCTCTCTTAATTTTGCCTGAGATTTATGTAGGACTTTGAATATATTCGTGTACTGATTGCCAGGGACAAGGTCGAGTTAAACACTACATGGAGAAGTATAATAGTATGATTACACGGAACCAGGTAACAGCATTAAAATGAAATGAAGGGAAACTGTTTAACATATCTGAATGGAGGATAGAGAAGAATATCTATCGCCCGCAGAGAAGTAACACTCGCATAGAGTAGTAGGTACTCGCCACTTGGAGCAATTGACCACGCAAGTGTTTATCGTCCCCTTCGACTACGTGATGCTATGCAACATTCGTTTAATCTCGCTTTATATGTCGCTGTCAGCTGTTATCGGTTCGCCAATAATGCGCAATGACAGTATACACTAATGTATTCTTGTAATTACGAAGAGAATTTGTGATCCGTAACCACGCGCTTACTCCGATAAATCTAGAGTCGCGTCTGAGCCATGTATCTACCTATGTATCTGGTTAACGTCGGCTTCAAACACCTATGAATCTGAATCGACCGCGATTTACATTGGACACTTGACATTCTCGCGCATTACGCCTTTGCGATCGATCTAGGTAACTTTCATCTGGATATGTAATACCCGTAAGCAAATTAAATAATATCTTGTATCACATATGCGAGATGTACAATTACTGTATATAACGAATTATTCCGAGAAAAATCGACAAAATTCCAGGATAAAAAATATAAAATCGTTTAATTTTATAAAATAGTGTATGGAATTTAACACACGTATATTGAGTTATATTTTCTACCCCAAGTTATTCATGTGTGTAAATAATAGATGGATACAAAAGATAAAGCATAAGAATTTCTGTGATTAAAATGCATCAATCAATTGGTAGAATTAAATGATGTAGAGGATATTGAAAGATAGGAACAATGCGAAACGCGTATTTCGGCGGTAAGGCTCCGCGGGTCACAATCTCATATAGATCCTAATCTGTCTCTTTCTGTTTCTTACACGACCCTCGGCCCTTCAAACGCTTACACCCCCTTATGGTTGGACGTACGCGAGCGTAAGCTATTATCTTATTTGCGCCTCGTTGTCTCAATGTATCATACCAATCCAGTAGCCGCTCGTACCGAGCAACAACACGGTGACCGCGTAAAACGGGACCACTTAGAATTTCAACCACCCCTCGAATTCTAGTCTCTTGCATCATCGTTCTCGATCCATTTCAATAAATCATTTATAAATGTTTGCAGAAGTTATTCTAAAAGTGAACAGGAATCATGCTTAAAATAGAAGTAAAATTCAGTGTGTATGTCGACTATTTTCAATTTGGTAAATTTAGAAGTTGATTTATGAACTGAATGTTTTATTACGATATCGATTAATTAAAGGAATTAACAGGTTTATTCGTAAAAAACTGTAAGTTGTAAAGTATAACGAAGAGTATGGAAAAGCTGGAGGAAAAACTGTCTGAATGTGAAATCCGGAACGAAAATGGTACTCTGTGCAGGACGGTGAAACCGAGCTGGTGAAGGCCACTGGAATATGGTTTATGGTTATATTCAAGCAGTAAAGCAATTCTCTATTTCGAAGCTTTGACCTTGTCTCGCTCTGCCATTATCCATTGACTTTAGCCCGGCGAAACTTTTATTCTGCACTATGTTTTGACAGCCGTTGGGTTCTGCTTATTACTTTTACGATCCCCATGGATGAAAGTTCGCGCGTTCCATATTCAATTCTCTCCGCGCTTTGGAAATTTGAGTAAATAAAGATAGCACATGTTTAGGATAATAGAGGAAGAAATCGATTTGTATCGAGAAGGTAAAGACGAATTTCAAAATTGTATCTTTCAAATCACTGTAACAAGCTCTAGATAATATTCAGTTTATTAAAGAGCTTTATCAACTATTTTTTGAAAATGTAATTAAAGACTCAAGTAAAGATAGGAAGGGGTTTGGAGATAGTGACAAGTAATCAGACAAAAGTCATGTTTTAAAAAAAATTTTGAACATTTATTTCAACGATCATACAGACGTTGATCACGCGTACTCACGATTTCCCGACGTACATATACATATATACATATACCGTGTCTATACGTTATGGATAACAATTATCAACTATTTACATAATTTAACAAATCGACATATCTCGAAGTCCACGATCCAATAGTCTTGATTTTTGCAGTGCGTCAATAAAAATCGAAAGACAACACATACTTCCTGCCGATTGACCGTTTGAATCCCGAGGGATCATTGAAAAAAAATTGATCGAAAAATGCCGAACAGCGCAATGCTTGTCTTAAGTGCTAAGAGAGCCAAGCGAAGCAATAGCGTTCGCTTTTTGTTATGTCGGAGAAGGTTAATCAATTGTATACGTAGTTGTCATACGTAGCATTAAAATATACAGAGATCGTTCGACATGAAATCTAAACAGTACGGTCGCGCTGTTTAGGATTAAAACATATAAAATTCAAACTCGACGACATCGCGGTCTTCGATGACTGACGACGGGAGATCATCTAAACGAGTCTTTGAGAGACTATTTACAATGGCATTATATTATATATTCTTCTACAATTTAAATGATCACATAATCGCGGCCGAGGCTCCATCAGGAACCGTAAATCCGGCAGAAATATCGTTTTGGTATGGCATAGCACGGTTCGAGCGATTTTAACACCGAGGTTTACATGTTTAAGTAAATCTATTCTATAATTACGCTAATATTTACAAAACTCGGCGCGAAAAAGGAAAGAAATTATTTACATACAATATCACTGTTGATTAACTGGAACAAGCTTCCGATAACATCTGGACGTAAAGCGGGAACGCAATGCAGTCCGGAGGAAATCGATAACTTTTCCTCGTAACCTTTAGATCGTCAGCATCCTCCTTCCTTCTAGAATTACTCGATGAACAACGCTCGATGAATAAACGACTAATAACCTAGCGCGATCGTTCAGCTTTGCCTCCCAGTAAGAACGGTGATCGGTTTCAACAGCAATTGCGGGGGACTATGCGGAAGAGATCTCGGCTGTTGCCCCGCATTGCAAATATTAATCGGTGGCGAATGAGGCGACATCGGTTCCGGACTACTTCCAGGAGACGTGGTGGTAGATTGCGGACACAGAATATTCGGCTGGGCCATGTGGTACCTGGCTGGCTGTTGATTATGCGCGAATACTGTGTTCTGATGCTGCTGATGAGCGGCTAACGACCTCAGAGTAGAATAAAAGTCGTATGGGCTGGAGACAGGAATCCCAGACGCCGCGATAGCACCTGGGTAACCAGCCGCGGTCGGAGGTTGTAACAACCTCTCCATGGAGAACGGGCCGTGTTGCGGCGGTGCGGCGGACGCCGGCATCGGCTGCGGTTTGCACGGCAGGCTGCTTGCCGAGCTGCTCGCCGCGCCGGGTAATAAACTCGCCGGGTAGCCGGCTGGGGTAGAATAAGCACCGGTCGCTGGTGGATAAGCTGCAGCGCGATGCAGATAAGGGAGCGTATAGAGAGACGCGGGCCATCCAGGCGGTCCATAGGGTGTGGGGTACAATCCTCCCAAGACGACGCTCCTCTTAAATGCAGCTAGTCGCGACCTGGAAGCCGCTGTAGTTCTTCGGCGAAGTTTACCGGTGGTTCCGCCGATGAACACATCCTCGGAACTCGGATCGAGCATCCAATAATTGCCTTTACCCGGATCGTCGTAATGGCGAGGAACTTTGACGAAGCATTTGTTCAAAGACAGATTATGTCTTATGGAATTTTGCCATCCCTGTTTGTTATTTTCGTAATAAGGAAAATGGCGCATTATGTATTCATAAATGCCGTTCAGAGTGAGTCGCTTCTCCGGGCTCTGGCGAATCGCCATCATGATCAATGCATTGTAGCTGTAAGGAGGCTTCTCAGTCTTCTTCTTATCATCGGCCTGCTTGTCCTTCGAGTCTTTCGCCTCGGATGGATTCCCCGAGCCCGCGGCGTTTCTCGAGCAGTCCAGAGGCGGCGTCTCATTACCTCCGTCGCCGATTACGTCCAGATCACTGGAATCGTCGCTATCTTCGATGTGGCTGATCTCCGGTGACATAGAACGGTTATCGGACGGTGCTGGCGTACCGGCACAAGCCTCGGGCACGATGTTGCGGATGCTGAAGTTGCTCTTCAAAGCAGCCCTCGGCGGCGGCGAGGCTGTCACCGTGTGCTGTTCGCTCGATCCTTCCATATTCACCATTTCACAATGTCTATTTCAAAACACTTCGCACTTTTCGAACCTCGCGGAACAGAGTGCTAACAACTCGTTGCAAGTATAGTCCTTAGAACGATAAAACACAGGAAGCTGCAGGGGAAAGTATTTAGTTACAGTATTTTGAATGAAGCAACACTATCACGATAAAGTCTCGGAGAACTCAGATGTTGTTGCTTCGAACACTCGGAACGTACAATTATTCTCGGTACCTCTGCTCCTATCGAGCGATGCAGCACGTTTAACAGGCTATCCCTGCCACAGTTCGTTTATATACCGTCACGGTAGCCACGCCTGTTCTCGTCCCTTCCATCGAGGCGACGAGCCGTTTCACCAATCGTTGGTAACGACGCGCACCTTCCACCGGACCAGTTCTCTCGCCCCACCAGAGCGGTTTGCGGCCAATGTTTGACAGTAAACTGTGCAAACAGCGCGGAGTTACGTGACGGGGGCAGGGATTTCGAAGGTACCCGATCGCCGTTACGGGGCCCGATGGTGGGGCGCGCAGCCGCGAACTCGCGTATACAAACAAATCCAAACGGGATATCTGTATTTCTACGCCCTCATGTACACCCGACGCGACGCAGCGCGGTGCGCCGTTCTCTGCTTCGCCGTCGCATCGCGCGGCGGCTGACCACCGTTGCTCATCCACGCGTGAACGTATTGCGATTCCCAACCCGGAGGGGGTGAATGCCCCCTTCTTGTTGCTGCCGAAGCCGCAGCTACCGCACCCGATGCTTTCAGATCGAATCGTACAATATTCTAAATCGATACCCTTTTGTAATTGCTTCCCCTGCAGCTACTGTTTATATTAATACAGTTGTCCAAAACGATTCCCGACCCACTTGCCATCTACATATACAGAAATTAAATTTTTATTGTGCAATATCACATTCCTTTGTAGTGACTAGAAATATTTTAGACAACAATCATTTTATCATTTTCTAAAGAATTAATTTATAGTTTTGCAATCTTCAATTGTAGTCTTGTTTAATTAACTGTTTGAATGCTGGACAAGTTTCTTAGATGTATACCAAAATCGCGGAACTGATTGCGTGTGTATGGGAGAAAATTTATAAAGAAAAGTCATCTAATTAGATCAGAAATATTGCGTTATTACAAAATACTGGAATTTAATGTTATCAAAGAAAGAAGAAATCATGCGCTCCGCAAATGCAACTAGCTTCAATGAATGCAAAATTTGTATTGATAAATAGGTGCGATATCGCATACTCCGCACTTGTGGCAGAACGCAATAAGAAAAGTGTGATAGCGCTCCATAGCACCTAAACGGTTAAAATCTGTGCAGGGGAATTTGAAAATTGTAAATTACCAAGTTTCGAAATTATCTGTTTCGAATTTAAATGCAGAAATTTATTATAAAAATAACTAAATTATAATCAATAAATGAATAAAAATAAATCTTGCTATTTTTATTTCATTATCCTCAATTGAATGATCAATCCTGAGGGTGGGTATGTAAAAAGATTGCAAAGCCAACAAGCTAAAATGTTAAGAATTGCAGGAATATTCCTTAGGGCCAACAACGTCTTTCAGTAGTATTCACGTTATTGGCTATGTAAATCATGAATTAGTCAGTTCAGTTTGGCAGCGTATAATTCAAAGAAGCGGAACTACCTAGCTACATCTAGCTTAGGCATCTAAGTAATTAACCCGGTCGAGTCGAATAAACTTTGCCCACGATTATAATAAATTATTATTATAGTACACCAGAATGAAGTCAACAATGAGAAAACCTTTTCTTCGTTTCTTAAAATTTATTTCCATCGAATCCACGTGAAATAACTTTCAAACAAACCAACTTTCAATAAAAGGAAACTATTTCCGAAAATAAAGTTTAACTCTGGGTATAACTGACGTATTTAAAGTCCCTTGAGTGCAGGCTAAATAAACCTTATAAATGCAGCCTGAAAATCCTCTCTCTTTCTCACTTAAATTACCCTTTAAGTAACTTCGAAAATTACATTACATTTTTCACACCTTTTTTCCCGAAAGTTACCGTCTTTATACTTTAATACTTTAATACCCAGTTCCTCAGAACACTTTTATTACAGTATAACCGTCTTCATAACTTCAAACCATTGAATCCAATAAAAATCCTTATAATGGACAATAAAATACCTCTACTTACAAAATATTTATCTTTTGAAATGAGACATTAACTTCCGAATATTGGCAACTCTTAAGAACTAAGCGGCATATGCACAATGTGTTTACTTCAATAAGTACAATCATCCTTAAATAGTTTTAGCAGCTAACAAATCCTTCTTTTCCCAAGTCCCACTGTCAGAAAATGACAAAGAAAAATAAACTTGAATTGCTACGTTTTAAATCTTGAAATCGATCAAACGAGATAATAAATTGTAATGTGCATGAGTCATCATCAATTTTTTATTACTAATTAATTATTGCATTTAGAACAATCGTCAATTTCATCATCAATTTTTTATTACTAATTAATTATTGCATTTAGAAGAATCGTTTTATCAATAAGAGTTACTATCATTCTTTAACAATATATTGAGCATTGCCGTATTTGGACCACTGCTCGATTTAGATATCCGGATGAGATAATGACTATACCTGTGAGCCTGGTGTCTAAAAATGCTAACCGTGTTGGTTGCGTCGGCTCGTTTGATGTGCATGCCATTTTATGGGCGTAACAGCACGTATGGTAGTTTCTGGGGTGAAGCTCGTTAATTCTAGAAAAGAGCTCCTTGAAAAAGATCTCTTGTAGATTTTCATCTCTCGATGGGAAAATTCTTGGTGGTCCGAGAGGACTGGGACACACAGATCGTTTGATCTTCCCAGGATGAGATTGCGAGTACATCTTAATCAAAGTGCTTTTAAAATCACATCAGATTATATGCATTTTTTTTTTAATTCGAGATTTTAAATATTTTCAATTAGAAATTTGTGTTACTAGGAATGTTACTTATCTACTATAGTAAATAATTCAATTTCTATTCACGTAGCAATTTTCATTCACTGGGTTTTTTCTGTCATTTTATATCCAATCATAAGCCAGTAAGTAGAAATTGTGACGTGAACAGAAATTGGGATATTTGCTGTATAATCAGTGGAAGATAAGAATTCTGTAGGGAACGTAACTTTTTACGTCGCTACATTCGATACGTAAATTTGTCGTGTTATCATAGAGGCTTCTGAAAAACAGAAGCGGGACAAATGAAATGGAATCGATGTTCCTAGAAAATAAGAATGCGGCTACGAAAGATGACGCCGAGGGAAAAGGCACGTGACAAACGTGAAAAGGGGACTCCTGTCATTCGGTCGCAGCGAAAAGAAAAGGAATCGAAGAGGAACGTTGCTCGGGTCGCCGGTAAGATATCTTTATACGGTGCGGACTGCTCGACCCCCCATCGTGAAGACGTCGTCACCCCGTGGCGACCCATAGATTTAGTTGCATCCCTACTTGCGTCCACCTTCGCGGCGCGGTGCGTTTCGTACTTTCCGTGATTTTTCGACCGACAGACTCGACCGTCTCTCGAGGATTTTCAAATTGCCATTTACGGATTCATGTGAATATGTATACAAGCAGTGAACTTCAATATTTTCGGAAATAACTTGTTACCTTACCTATCCTTGACGGTAATGGTACTACCTGCAGGTACCCAAGGGTCTAATAATCGTATTATAAAGGCCGAGTAAGGTTTTACGATACGAGTGTCAGTAAATCTTACAACAAAGTGGATTAAATTTTGTCAAAAATATGTTTCTGACAACTGCGGTTACCTTTCCTTTATTTCTTTATGCACTCTCTTAATTTGGGTATTCGAAAGTACTATTTGTTTTATTCCGAAAGTTCTTTGAATTCTTGGAAATTTTGGGACTTTTACTGCGATTCTAAGCCATTACTACCTGAAATCTTCGGCACTAGTTCTTCGTTGAGCGTATCAAATTGTAGTCCCAGAACGTTCATTACTTCATTATCGTAGAAGAAATTTCCATTCGTCACAGTTCCGGAAACCGGCTGACTATTTTTTCTCTGCCTTTGATCAATATAGGAAAACTTGCACAGTCGTACTTCCTGTCTGTATTCACGCGCGATGACGCTGTCACAGTGACTGCGTGTAAAATAGACTTGTATCGAAAATTAAATTTTAACAAGACTGTTCATTGTCTCAATAGAGAGTTCAAGTAATGCAAGTCATTTCTGTAAGATACCTCAGTACACGTGATTTAATTAAAGAACAGTCTTATGTAAGTAGTCTTGAATTAAAAGAAGAGGAATCAAGTCCTCTTTTATACTAAATTTATATATTAATTTTATTTGGAAATTCTGCGAACAACAAACCAAAATACCATAAGAAGAACGTTACTTTAACAAGGAAGTTTATTAATTAAGAATGAACAATATATAATAACCATAAATAAGAAAAAACATTCTGAGCCAGTTTCTCCTCGATTTAACTGAGGAACCCGTTACAAAAACTGCAAAGGGAGCAGCCGCATCGAATCGCGGGTAGCACGGTCACTCATTACGTCATGATTAGAAGAGCGCTTATAGTCGAGGTGAGTGGGAAGGCTGCCGGTCACAGCTCCAAGACGCCGGACACCCAGCCGCGTCCCATCTTTTCTCAGAGCTGTCCTCGTCCTCGACGGCGGCGCGGCGAATAGGAAAATCGGTTTTCCGGGAGGGCGCAGAGCGCGTCTGCTGCGTTCCCATTATTTCATCCCCTTGTCACACAGCCGCTTTTACCGGGCCCTGATGCGACGTGCAGGTAACCAGGAGAGGACCAACAAACGAGTCTATTTGCTCAACAAAGCGGGCGCGGCGGCGGCAGCGTCCGGGGACTCGCTTTCTGTGTTGCGAGTCAGGAACTCTACATCCTCTGCACGACCACGTGTCTGAAAACGCGGTTTGAGGAGAAATGAAAAATCAATATCCTCTCCGTCTTCGTCTATAGTCCGCTTTCGCATGAATGAACATTTGAAACTCAACGTGTCGTACGAACCGCAATTTATTTCCTTACATTTTTACCTGCGATTTATTATACGCGCCGCGCCGTCGATTAAACATTTTTCTCGCGACTCGTCGAATCGAAAACATTTGTTATTTTCCCTTTCGGATTCAGTTTGATATTACAGATTTACAGATTTTACTTGGTACATTAACGTAGCTTGTGAATTCAATATTGCAATGTGTCCCTATTTTCAGTCGCGGCGCGAATTGTTTGCGACTGACACA